TCTGATCTATATCTGCTCTCAACTTTCAGCTGCTGAATTATTGTTTACCATTTGGCTGAGAGTGCACTAACAATATATAATGGCTTTGGAAATGTGCGCTTCCTCTTGTAACTTCTTTTGCACGCTACCTTTGTCTCCGAAGCGCACAGATACACGTTTTAGTGTTATTACTCTGCTCTCTATTGTGCTGGTCCCGAGCCAAAGTCTCAATCCAATCCATACACATTTGTCACGGCCTTTTATAGTCACATGGTGTTGTAATCCCTGCCAACTGATGCTGTATTGTTTTGGGAGATGTAGAAGATAACCCCTTTTCACCGCCTGCTTCACTCAAAGGAGCAGGACACAGCAAAGGTGCATTCATCACGGCGGCAGAATTGGAGACTCTGAGAGAAGCATCAGATTGAAAGGAGGAAAGAACTGATGTGTAGCCTAATATGCATTGATTTGAGCTTCCCAGTCTCCACTTTACCCTCGCATGCACAGTTTCAGGCTTATTCATGGTCAAGTGCACTTGCCTGATTGCTGTGCACAGGAAATCACAGGGTGCTCTGTGACTATATTCTCAATGTTTAGTGTCCTCAAAAGCTCTGCTTTGCATTTTAGCCCATGCGCTGGTTCTGCTGCTACAGAACAAAACGGGCTGCGAGTCTTTTGCTGTCACAAAGCCCCTACAAAGCAACATTTTTTTAATACTTTGTTTTGTCAGCAGAGATGATTTTCCGTCTGTGTTGTAGTTTTTAACAACACGGCAGCAAACCAGATCTTTGTGTTTAGTCCTCGGTCGTAAGCATTTTTAAGACGACTCCAGCACTACCGAGTCCCACTTGGCCACGCTGTGGAAAAATGGCTACTGAGAGCCTCAGCAGAACACCTGCCCCCAGCCTGACCTGTTGTTAGTGGATTTAATCCCGAGAGAATGACAGGCTAGTTACAAGAAATGCTCCACTGCTTTTTCTTTTCTCTCGCTCCCCCTCCTCTCCCTCTCTATACCTAATGGAGAGGTATAGCCACGTGAGTTTTGTGGGTTTTGTTTTTTTGTCCTTTCTTTTCACAACACAGATAAAGGATAAAAACAGGGACTGTGTGCACAGAAAGAACTAGATTTTTGTTTCTGGCTGGCAGATCTTTTCCACTGCCCTCTTTGTGTTTACAAATTTGTGTGGTTTGCTCAGTTTTCCCCTCTGAGGACAACACCTGAGCAAACAGATGACGCCAAACTGCTTCACTTCACTGCAGTGATGGTTTTCCTTGGAGTTCATATCGTCAGTGTTGTCATCATCGCGCTGCTCAGAGGCATGCGCATCGTTTAAAAGATCTTCATCCGATATTGCACAAATAGACTCTCCATAGCCTTCTCACCATGTGGTACAGCTTTTATTTTTCTTCCTGCAAATTGAACTTCGGACCCAAAATCATGCTATTCGCTCTCACTTCAGGGAGCAAAAATAGACAATGTGCAATACTTTTTTTTTGAGTAGGAGATTTTTCTATCTGCCACCATGTGCTTTCTCATTATGCACCCCTTTGTCCCTTCTTTTCTATCTGGAAAAACCACAAAACTCAGCCTGTCTGCCGCATCATGTCTGGCAAACATGGAAATAATCACCCATCAAGGGCAAAACATTCACAAGTATTCAGCTGAATGTGGGGGGCAAAAAAAGGCATTATACTTGCAGCGTTCTGTATTTGTCAGGAGTGGGAATGTCATAGATTTAGCAGGAGCGGGACGGGCTGTAGAGGCAGAGGAGGGATACGAGGTGCCATCATGGCTGTCAGACCCATCCTTTCCCCCCTGAGGGCTCTGCTGTACATGGGCAGATATTCTTGCTGCTTACAATAGAAAATCAGACACGGAGCAGGTCACTCATCCCCAGAGTGCGCCTGCTCTCTGCATACATTCTGTTTCTGCTGTTTTGTCTCCCGGTCTGATGGTGTTTCCATGTCATTTATATGGAAATTCAAAACGTCAAGGCTGCCATATGTTCTGCTGCTCCTCTGTAGGTCCATGCTTATGTTTCCCTGTCCACGTCAGTCTTCATTTTCAGCTTGATGCACTCCCTGTGTCTGCACACTGTGACAAATGAAGTCTCTTTCTACTTGACCTCCACTACTAAGCGTGGACAAAGCAGGAGTGATTAGAGGAATCGCATTTTCCCTTTAATGCTGTTTTCCTTTCAGCTCTATCAGTCAGGACTCCTGTTTATCTACCTGTGAACAGCTGCAGGTACGACTCCAGCCTGACAGCTTTTGTAAATAGCCCGCTCAGCTTTGCAGGTGATATAGGCTATTTATTATTTCGCATGCTATATCAAACAATGATTAGGCTTTTTTTTTGCTTATTTAAAATGAATAAATAAATTACTGATCTATGTGTAACTGTGCGCATGGCTGGGTTTCAATCTGATTCTGCTGGAAAAATGGTTGGAAGAATCTGATTATATCTATAGGTTAATTAAGTTAACCAGCGTCTTCTCAGAAAGCTGAGATTGATTCCAGCTCTAGTGAGGGACAGAAGAAGTGGAGGGCACACCTCCCGCGTTTGTTTTCGTCTCACGTGCGCACACGCGCACACATATACAAGCGCGCGCGCGCACAAGCAGATACAGAGGGAGGGAGAGAGTTTGCCCCACATCTTTATCGCTATAACTACCCTCCACGAGTGAGACAGTCAGTGATGGAGCCTTCCGCAGGGGACAGACCGCCACGCGCTCTCAGGTGATTCTCTGTCTCTTTCTTTTTCTGCCTTTTTGGGAAATTTGTCAACTCTGAGGATGATGATGATGATGATTATGTTCATCCAGCCTGTGGGAAGAAAAACTACAAACGGACTCTAAATAAAACACATCCTCACCCGCCGCGTGGATCCAAACTTCACCAGAAACGGTTTTACAGGTGAGTTTATTTATGTTCACTTGGAAAAACGAGCCCTAACATTCAGATCCTTCGCGAATTTCTCTCTTTTTAAAATTAAAAAGAAAAAAGGAAATGCATTAACTTTAGCTTAATAAGGCAAGCGGAAAAAAACAGCTGAAGCGGAAAAAAACAGCTGAAGTAACTTAATAATATCGCACAAAAGTTTCAAAATGATACAGAAAAAAAAATCACATTTAGTGTCACCAAACGGAAAGCGCTGTTTTGTGGACGCCCTTTTGCTTCGTGTAGACTAGTTGACCTGTTTCACGCAGATTAATGTCATCTAAGGTTTGCATGAAATTTCACCGGCATCGTTATCACGTCGGCGCAGGTTCGTTTTGTCAAAAACTACGTTGGGTGCAGGAAATTCCGAGAATGTCTTTTCTATTTCGGATTAAACGCCTTTTAAAATTAGGAAGGGATATTAGAAAAAAAAAATAATTGGAAACTGCAGTCACCAGCTGTAACCACAGCTGTATTTGCTTTGGGAGTCTCCCCACCCCGGTCTTTCTCAATCCCATTCTTATTAATGCAGCAGATGATTATTTTTGCTAATTGGGGATTTGCATGCATCTGCATTCAGTATGTTAATAACGGACCGTTGAGTGCTGAGCCAAATCCTCTGCACAGTTTATAAGGCGCAGAGGGCAGTTTGATGGACATCAGAGGGCTGTCACCCGGTCACCTTCAGGCATATCATCCAAATCTAGGCCGCTTGAGTCGGGGTTGAAACCCTCAGCCCTGCTGTCAGGACAATACAGACACATGACGGTTTTTATTCTATTATGAAAATGGGGTGAAAGCGGAGGGTGCTTGACATTTTAAGAGGATAGTCTTTTAATCAAATTCAAGGAGTGTTTTGTGATTTCTGCCTGGGAACAAGAACATCATATGGCCATGCTTGTGTCAACAAAACAAGAACAGGCTGCCCTCACACCACCTACAGACCCACATGGTTTTATTTATTTGTTTTAAAGAAAAGGAAAAAAAAAACATATTTAAAGGAGAGTCCCAGTTGGTTTTGCTCATGTTGCTTTTTTTAAACTTTTGCCTCTAAACTGTGGGAGAAGCGAGCAGATGCTAACACCCAGACTGCTGCTGGGTTATATTTTTCCATCCCTGTCACTTATTGACACTGTGGGACTCGGGACAGGATTAATGTTCATGCCGTTAATAGTGCAGCAGGCAATGCTTGGACTTATCGATCCAACCCCTTTCTAACCTACATCCTACAATACACATCTCCTCTACCTCACCCTTGGAATATGATTAAGGGGATATGGCATCATGGGGAAATAAATACAGGGATAAATGTGATGAACATGTATTGATGGGTGTAATGTAATGCTTTCCTTCTCATCTTAAACTTGTTATTCTGGAGGGGCACAACAGGAGAGGAATGGGAGGGTTTAAGATGATCTTTTATAATGATTTACGTCCCTTTAATGCAGGAGTACAAGAGAGGATTTTTAACCCTATTAGATCACTTAAACTGTCGTTACGGCCTGGACTGTGATTCGTGAGGAAATCACTGCAATAAAACTTGCTGATGGTTCCACTGAAAGTCCAGTTTCATTTCCGAGTTATTAACAAACATTTCTCTTCGATATGCATGACAAGGGCTGATTTTCTAGCAGAGAAACTGTCCTCTTACATGTTTGAGTCCATTTGTATTACATGCCTCTCCATGCAGGAGGGCTTTCGTGGAATAAGCCGCGTTTAAGCTCATTCGCTGTCTGTCTCTTTGGCCACTGACCTTTTTTCTGCCCCTCCTCCCGAAACATCATAATCTCCCCTTGTGAGCATTTGTTGTGATTGCATGTGTTTGCAGATTAAGTAACGAGAGAGAGAGAGAGAGAGTCTTCATTTCCAAACTGACCTCTTTTCTCTCAATCTGTCAGATTCTCCCGGCGCAACAGTGTGCGGCTAACTGGGACCTGGTGTGTGTCAGGAGGCTATGGTGAGGCCATGTGCACGGGCTGGTGTGAGGCGAGATGTAACGGCCTCAGTGGAGGAAGACGTAAAGGACTGGATCTTCACTCATGGCTGCGTGTGTCACTCCTGTTCTTGGCTCTGTGGGGCCAAGTGTTCCCGCAGTGCCCGGACAGCTGCCACTGTGCCTGGGACACGGCCACGGTGTTGTGCTCGGATGCCGGGCTGCGGGAGATCCCAGAGGGGATCCCACCAGAAACCGTCTCCCTCCACCTGGAGCGCAATTACATACGGAACATCCCGGAGAGTGCCTTCAGTAACCTGGTCCGCTTGCGGGACCTGTACCTGTCCCACAACCGCATCGACTCGCTTGCCTCCGGGGCCCTGCAACATCTGGGGCCCGAGCTACGCCTGCTGGACCTCTCGCATAACCAGCTGAGGCACGTCAGCAAGGAGGAGTTTGGTTCCACTCGTGCAAAGACGCGTCTTTACCACAATCCCTGGCACTGTGACTGCACACTCCAGGAGCTGATGGAGACTCTGAACCTGGAGCCCGAGACGGTGAATGGGATAATATGTGAGAGCTCTGTGCGGGGGGTGGGTGAGGGCAGCAGGTGGGAGGATCCGGGGTCACTGGGCGAGCACGCAGGCCAACCGCTGGTTAAACTGCTGGACTCTGGGGTGAATTTCTGCAGTCTGCAGAGGAAGACCACTGACGTAGCCATGCTGGTGACCATGTTTGTGTGGTTCTTCATGGTCATTGTGTACGTAGTGTACTATGTGAGGCAGAACCAAGCCGAGGCTCGCAGACATTTGGAGTACCTGAAGAGTTTGCCCAGCCCACGCAAGACCCCTACTGAGACAGATACTCTCAGTACTGGTTTCTAAACTCCTGCTCAGCTGAAATTTAAATGAAAATGTTATTTTTACCAACCTTGACTTTGAAATTCTGTGTGGAGTTATGGTGAAAACCAGCAGTGGAAGATGCACACACAGAGGAAACGCAGCTCCCGAACACCTGCAAACGTCTTCATATTTCCTTTCCCATCATATTTGTTGCGAATTGTGGTTAAAACAAATACTTGCTTAGTCATCCCACCATCTCTACTGAGAGGAAATTTAAAAATCCCTAAAAGTACAAAGTGAAAGTGTAACATGTAAGACATCTTCTTGCAGCCCCTCTTTTATCCTCCCACCATGCTTCATGCTGTGTTCTTTTATCTTAAATTAAGCTCTAATTAGCAGTCGTTGACCAACTGACCCTTAATGAACTACTGAAAGGCACTAATCAGCTGGAGTGTGTTTATCAGGTCGAGGACAGCGTGCAAACGCTAATGTGTGTCATCTTATAATTGCTTGTCTAATATGTGTGCGTACGTGTGCACGTGCATTTTTGTGCATTGCTGTGGCCGTTTTTACTTTGATATTATTGATTTTGCACAGACATAATTTAAGCCTTTTTCAATATATCAGCACTGAGACGGTGTTTATGTGTCAGTGGAAAGCCTCTGATCTATATTTCTTCTAAGGAATCCATTAGAGCTGGAGGTGAACTATTGTGTGTCCGTTTAGTATACATACCCAGTATCGCCTGGTAGACAGAGAGTCCAAATCAATTTAGAAAACAATTATTAATACACATATTTATCCAGAGAGGAGCTGGTAGAAAACCTCGAGTCCTGATTATTTGGGGCTGCATTTCTTTTTCTTTTCCACAACCCTATCCCAATCGATTTTCTTTTAAAAGGCAGTGTGAAAATAAGCAAAACACTTTGATAATAAATTGCTTTGATTAGAACACGACAGATTGTAGTGTTACAATTAATGCTATTCCTGTAGGTGTACCGCAGGTGCACTGAATCGTCAGCCTAGCTTTTTGCACGCATGCAGAACAAACCCTGGCTGGATAAACATCCGCATTTCACCCAGTATCACACGATTTAATTGAATTCAGATTTACTGTGGTAATATGTTAGCATTCTGTGAGGAGAGGGTGTGCAATGTGATTTAATAAATCTGGATTTGTCATCCTCCACTGTTGCATTAGAGACTGTAAAAAGCCCTATTTTCAGTTTTCTAGTCAACCTCTTTAAAACGTGTCTCCATACCGGAGTGTGGGATCATAAATGGGGAAAAGTAAGCTTGTTATTTACGGCATAATTTTAGCTTCCACTCTCATTATATTCAAACACACACACAAAAAA